TAGAAGAGGGGATTAATGAAGGTTGCGAAAGCATTATTCTTCGTAAAGATGTAGGTTATGAAGGTAGAAGGAGGTAAATACATGAAAATACAAATATATTATTAGATATTATATACTTGATGATAATATAATTTTAATTTGTTACGTTTTTATAAAAGTAATTCACATCTTAGATTCAAACCATCTCGAGAAATTGAAGCGATAGTAGAAGATGTGAAACTCGGTAAAATGGTAATTCCAATTGAAAATAACAGGTCAGAAGATGGAGTAACGTTTTCTAGTGTTATAGTCAATTATAGAGGTAAGGAATGCATTTATAAAAATAGAATTATTTTTTTCTGATAAAGAAATTATGATAATAATAATGATTACTATCAAAAATTAGATAATCTTACAAGTGTAAATTTAGGTTTTACTAATGAACAAAAAATTTATTACAAAGAGAATCCTGGTTCGATTAAAGGGAAAAAAGTGACAATAAAATATTTTGAAGACTCAAATAAAAAAAACAAAACTTTGAGATTCCCAAGTATAAAAAAGATATGGAAAGAAGGTTATTTATTAATTTGTTTTATTTATTCTATTATTATTATTTATATTGTTAAATGTTAATTATTAATAAATATCTACGATCTTAGATTTATTTTTATCCAAATAACTTGTTACGATGCTTAATCTTTTTTTAATAATAAAAATAATAAGGGATTAGTATTGGAAGGATTATTATTTTATTAATAAATATTATAATCTTGGCTTTATTTTTATCCCAATAACTTGTTATGATGTTTAATCTCTTTTTAATAATAAAAAATAATAAGGGATTAGTATTGTAAGGATTATTATTTTATTAATAAATATTTATAATCTTGGCTTTATTTTTATCCCAATAACTTGTTATTAATGTTTTGTTATTTTTCAATCTCTTCTTTGACAATAAAAATAATAAGGAATTAGTATCATTAGTATAATATATAACATATAATTGCTCTCTATTATTATTTACGACGTGACGTGATAAGTTCCTTGGTCCATTACTTAAGATTCGATATCATATATTGTATATTATTATTGATCGTATATAATAATATGTATAATTTATTATTAGCAATCATCAATTCTTTCCCCCTCAAAACATGCATACATTTATTTATAATTTTTTTAAAAAAAAAATAATAAAAGGCGCTGCTATCGCTAATATACTTTTTCGCTCAAAATATGAAGATATGATTCGTGGCAAACTTGTTATTTGCGATAACTCGAAAACTTCCGTATATTTTATAATAATAATGCTATTGTTTCCATTTATTCCTTTTTTTTTTTTTGACGGTTAAAAATTATTTAATTATCGTTAAGCCATCAAAAAGTATGTTTTGAATTCCTTATAATCTCATTACAACAATAATCTTCGATTGAGGAGGATGTTTCTTCTTCCCCAAATGGTAAAATAGTGTTGTTTAGATTATTTACACTACATAAATAAATAATGCAAAAAAAAAAAAAAAAATACTTGAGGAAGAATGTTTTTTGTACTACAACTACAAAACTCGAGGGAATTGAATGATGAGGCGGTGACATTTTTAAAATTATTCGAAATACAAGCGTGGGCAGTGACATACATACAATTTAATCTTCCATATGATAATTGGAATAAACAATCCAAAAGTATAAACTCATGCTGAGCTTTATTTTCCCAGTTATCTAGATTCAATTTGTTCGCCCGTTTAGTCAATTCAGGTTTTTCTTTGCCTTTCCAATTCTTCAAACTTTATTCTAAAGTTCCTGAATAGCATTTTCACTTTGGGGTTAATTGCTGTATTGCTATTATTATCTATTCAATTACAGAATTGCGGACAATTGCGGAGAGTTGCGATTAAATATTGCAATTTCGAGTCCACAGATCTTTTCTATAATAGTCGCCAATAACAACTGTGGCAACTCCGCAAAAAAAATTTTTTTTTTAAAAAAAAAGCTTAAAAATCTTGTTTCAGCCAAAACTCACCTATTGGTTCTCCAACTTTTATTTGCTGTAGCGAAAATCTCTTTATAGTGAACATATTATATAAAATTTAATAGGCTCACTGTAACGAGAGTTTTTTTTTTAATAAACAATATTTATAAACAATATATATATATATATATATATATTATAATCAATACAATATTTTCAAGGAGTATTGTTTTATATGATAGCGATTTGAATTTTGACAATCAACCATCTGATCCATTATATTCATCTTGTGTCAATCCTTTTGATTTCAACGTGTCTCCAGGAATTGAAGATAAAGCTTGCCGCATCCATAAAATATAAGGCAGCTTCAACTCCTCCTCTCTCTCGTTTTTGATTAATTTTTAGATAGCAATTTGAAACTAATGATTTTGATACTTGAAATTGTTAACAATACAATATTCAAATGGACTACTATATTTCTCCATTTACTGTATGTATTTATAAACAGTTTTTATCATTTAGATTTAGTGACCCTGTGATCATGATCATGTGATTTTCACTATAACTAATCATTGTGTCACAACAAAGAGATCAAGTTGTTCGTTATAACGAGCAAAATTTATTATTGGACATTTAAAAAAGTTTTCCTGTAAGCCATTTATCCCCACGATAACGAAATAGGCCTTTAATGTATATATTTTTTATTTTTTATTTGACTATTCTTATAAAAGTATCAATCTACATACAAGATGCTAATTCATTTACTTAAACTGAAACTTTTGGGATTGTTTGTTTGGGTCACGCCATAATCAAATGGCGTTTACTTAATATTTTTATTTTTCCCCCGTTATACCAGTATTTTTAAATTTAGAGGTCTAACGAAATCCAGCAAAGTATTTTCTGTGTTTTTCTTCTTGAATTGAAGTCACATCAATCTCGCAAAGTGTGATTAAATAAAAGTGCAGGTCAAATACCCTCCCTCTCTATAACTAACTGCTGATTTCCTTGAATCTAACTAAACCCAAACGAGTATAATCGTCTAGGAGAAAACAACAATTGTTAATCAGTCAGTATCTTTTGATGCTTGCTTATCTTAGTTTTCAAAATATATATTAAAAAATATTAATTTACGATAAATATGGAATTGTCATTTACACACCAATAAAACTTTTAATATCATTTGAAATTTTGGAAATAAGTTTACTATGTGTCATCTATTATTATACATATTATCTAGAAATAGAATCTGCCTTCCTAGCAAAAGAAAAAATCTGTACCAATTTGATATATTATAATTATTCTTTCAATAAGTTTTCTGTATATTTTGATAAGTCAAAAACATTCGACCACTTTCTTTTTGTTTCCTATGACTCTCTGTAGCAAAAGTAACACTACATGCAATAAAATAAATGGATTTTCTTATTTTCTATCCATGCCATTAACTTGCATCTGTATATTTAACAATTTGCTTTGCATCCATCATATCTTCACTATCAAACCCGCAAAAACAAGGATTGTTACAATACCATATATTAAAATTTTGATCTTCGTTATTCCCATCTCTCTTTTGCGCTTTTGGCTTATTTTCTAAAGTTTCTTGTAGGTTAGATTTCAATAAGCAGACAATATGAAAGCAGGACAACAACATTTGTAACATTTTCGTTTACCTCCATAGCACTATGTATTTGCATTATGTTCTGAGCACCATCTTTGTTAAAGACATCTCTTTTAGTTTCACAGACCAATTGTTCAAGATGAACAGAACATTCAATGGAACAAAAACCACGGCTTCCATCAAGCCAGTCTTTTGACTGCAGTCATATATAAAAGCAGAAAAATATTTATTTTACCTTGAATTAGACAGTGGATAACGTACAACCAGAGTACTTGCAGTGGTTAGTTGTGTTCAAATTCGTAACAAGAACATCCATCTTTTTGAGAGGATTGATTGATTCTTGCTGGTAAGAATTTTGGTTCGATGTTTTCAAGGATGGCAAAGTTTACGTGCAAGATCGCCCAAATCAAGTGGTGAAGTGTTCCGTTTGACAAGGATCCAAAGAGTTAAATTCTCAGAAATAATGACATTGATGAGATTTTTTTTAAAAAGCAAAGGTGGTGGTGATGCCATGCAACAAATTAAAAATATGTACAGTCAACCCCCTCTAAGTGCACCCTCTCTAAATGCACGCCATGTCTCATTCCCAAACTTATAAAATTACCCCCTCTAAATGCACACCCTCTCTAAATGCACGTTCATGAAAAACAGTGATATGTTCCCAAGTAGGGGGTGCACTTAGAGGAGGTTGACTGTATTACTGCTACTGGACAGCCAATTAGAAGGCAGTCAATATATGATATGATTTACTTGATAATTTTTTTCTGCTTAAAAATATTTACTGCCGATCGTTCATCGCCCCTTTTTTTTTCTCAAAATTTTGTACTTTGGGATTATTTGTTGATATTGATTTTCCGTTTATGTACTTATTTCTTTAGTCGAAAACTTCTTTTACTGATTTTCTTTCAGTTTAAAGTAAAATTTTCCATGGACGGGAATTCCTTCTTGAAATTGCCAAGTTTGTGTTGATTGTTATATATATTGTTAATATTGTTTTATTATTGTCATCGTTTCTGGTTTAGTTCTTTCGATCATTTTGGTAAGAATTTATCCTCCTTTGGTTTCTCTTTTCTCTCAGTAAAAGATGAGACCCTTTAGAATTCCTTTTTAGATTTCTATTTCTTTTGATCACCGAATGTCCAACCTTCATTTTAAACTTTTCCTTTCTTTGGTTCCGAGTTTTGTTTAATTATCCATCTTCTTTTCCTCGATCTCTACTAGTTTATCGAAATCAAACGGTGATTTGGTAGGTTTCTATAATATTTTCGTGATCCTGAAACATTTCCTGTTTTTTACTCATCATCATAATAAAAGTTAATTCGTTAGAAGGAATTAATTATTGTTGATCATCCATTACCCTTTATAGCTAACTTATTTTGGTGATTAAGCTTATCATTTATGAATTTTAAAGACTCGCTATTTTTTTTTACTATACACTGTCTAACTTTTATATTTCAATATACTAATTTTGAGTCAAAAATTCTTTGTAAAGCAGATGAGCAAATTAATGGAAGAAAAAGACTGAAAATGTTGGAATAAATACAATATTTCAATTATAACAACAACCCTCAAAAATAGATATTCCTGCCAGAGATGAATAAGCGAGTGAAAATACACGTTAACTTTCTTGTAAAGTAGGTAAGAACGTAGTGTAGTCAGTCTTTTCTGAGCGATGCGAGGTTTTGACATTGTGGTGGCATTAATGATAACTAGTAAAATAATAATGATATTGTTTTTTTTTTAATAAACCAACCACGCATAGTCTTGATATTAAATGAAACCATATTTAACAGAGACGATGTTTACTATTACGAAAAAGGTTGTCCGCAGAACTCTGAACAATTAATTAATGTACACGTACGTTATACAAACAAAGAAAAAGAACCTTTGGTATCGTGCGTGACCAACGATGAAAGATGATACAAACATAGAAATTCAAAGAATCTTTTTTATTGGTCTAAACACACTATTACAATTACGATTCTTTGAACACAACCGCCAAGATTATTTGTGGCGTCGTGTGCTGCTGTATATATTTTCTTTCAATGAAATGAATGAGATATATATTTGCTGTTATATATATATGGATATATATATGAGTTATAATCTACTTTATATTTTACAAAATAGTAATCAATACAAAGACTTTAGATGTTTGTGTTTGGAAGCACCTACGAATATAGAAACATTAAAGATAAAGAATTAATTGTCTATATTATTTTTCAGGACAAATATATATAAAATACTATTTTATATAATTATGATTGATATATTTACTCTGTTTTAATAATCTCGATTCATTTTTTCATAAATAATAATCTTGCACCAATCAATTCTCGCGCAATTATGTATTCCTGTTTCATAGTTAAATGTGGTGGTGATAAAAATGAATAATCACATATTAATATTTGGGTGTGTGGTGAATAGAGAAAATGAATATGGATATATGTGTGTGGTGGAATGATTACGATAGAAAAACGAATATTAGGAAGAACAATTTGATCGATTTGATGATATATTAATGATATTAATTAAGCCAGCAGCAAGTGTGTGGGAGAAAGAAATATGCCAATTTGAGTAATAATACCACGCTAGTATCATTATTATTATTTTGGGAGATCTAATGATTATGCAAAAATGGATTTGTTTGTAAAATATAATCGGAGTTAGATTAAATTTTGAATGGATTTTTGTTTACCCGCATTTATATTGTATTTTCCCAATAATTAATTAATCCATTTTATTTATTATTTGTTTTTCAAAAAAAATTTGTGCATCAATATTTATATATTTTAAAAATCTTGAATGCATTAAAAATAAATAAATAAATAAAACAAAAACGTACGCTAAATCATATACTATAATATTTATATATAATTTCTATTTATCTCCTTCATGAAAAAAAAACAACAATGAACGGAGTTTCTTGAGTGTGTGTGTGGTTGGGTGATTATGCAACTTTGATAAAATCGTTATATGCGAATGATCATAATAATAAATCTTGATCAAATTAAAATTATAATTTTTTTTTTTTTTTTTTTTTTCATTTAAAAATAAATATTATTTAATTAAAAAAAAAAAGATGTTACCTAAATTCTCTGACATTTGACCGAGATCATCATCTGAATAACCCAAAATAGTAATGCATTAAAAATTTTTTTTACGGAGAACCTACTATATTTGTTAAATCTAACGGGACTTCCTCGAATGGTGGTGATACATCATCATCACTTATACTGAGAAGTGATAAAATGTCATTGTTGAATCACTTGCTTTGCTTTCTCTTTTGCGATGATAAGGCTTAGTGTTGAAGACCAAATGTGGGAGAGATTGTCTTTATGCTAAAACAAGTTAGTTTACATTTTTTTTTTTCATAGCCTCCTCTTTTAAAGAAATAATTTCACTAGCAAGGCTGCTAATTTTTTTTTTTCAAAATGACTCAACTAAATAGAGAGTAAAGCAAAAATGGCAAACATATATATAAAGTCTCTCTAATATCCTTTCATTTTCTGCTTAAATGCTCAAAAAAAATTATATATTTTCTATAAAAGTGAATACTAGATAAGGCACACACCCTGTACACATTTAAAAGTTGTGTAGCATAAGCATAACTTACTCCTTGATAAAGAAAGAATAAATAAATAAACAAAGATCTAGATTTTCCTCTCCTCAAAAAATTTGCCGTTTTTACGTCCTGATGTTGAAACAGGATGATGAAACAGGCAAAGAGGCAGCAGCAGACTCCTTGCAGTTTAACTAAGAGCTTATCTAAAAGATTTTGTATCTGCTGTTGCATTGCATCCACAACTTTATTTTTTTTATCTTGATTATCATATTGGTGTTCAACAAGAGTGCGTCTCACAAGTCTGTTGGGGTTTTCCCAAAAAAAAAATTTTTGTAAAGCTGTTTTAATCATCACCTTTGAACAAAGGTTTTTTGAATATTTCCTCTTTAAAGATTTCATTTCATTTCATTTCACGACTAACCAAATTAAATATATTGTTCGGTTTTTGCAGAACGTGTGTATAGGGTAATTTATTGTTTCAGGAATGGATATACCTATATACCATAAATATCCGACCACTTGTGTTGTGTAACTTCAAATGAAATGTCCTTACTATAAAAGTAACGTTTTCTTAAATAAAACCTTTTTTTACTTTACTTATGTAGACTTGTACATGATATATAAATTACAAAAGCTTTGAAAGATTCGGTATGGTATTAATGGAAACATTTAACAAATAGTTCCAAAAAAGCAAATTTTCAATCGGAATCATTACATGTTGTAATAAAGGTCAAATTTCTTCATTGTTAATATGTATATTATTCATTAATCAAATGTGTTCAACGTAACAGATCACATATATCTACAATATGGTGTTGGCATAAATTAGTTCGTGAAAAGGGTTTAAAAAAGTACCCGTAATTTTATTATAATTAATATAAAACACTTAATAAAGTTGACAAAATGCAAAATTTTAAGGCTTTACGTTTTGTTGTCTATACTTGATCAAATTTTCTCAAATTTTAACCATATATAATTCAAGATATTTTAAGTGGACTTACTTAATGGCGTAATCCATGATTCAACGGAGTTTTGAAGGTTTTTACTAAGCTCAAAGTTTTCATAAAAATCA